TACTGAAATTTAGATTGATTGAATTTGGTTAAAATTTGTTCTGGGTGTTGCATAATCATCTGCAAGAACTCTTTCTAATCTTAAGAGAAAGAGCACTTTCATCATCAAGAATAGAACAGTGCTGTTTCTTTCTACTTTGAATGTCTGTTTTTACTGTTGCAATTTGATCCTTAGGGAATGTTTTGAAACTACATTCATGTTGAGGCTCTTCTTTTTTCATGTTGGCTGCAGATCAAACGGGAAATCTCAACCATGAAATTGATTAGGCATCCCAATGTCATTCGCATGTTTGAGGTTAGAATTCAAATTCTTTGACATTGCTTTTCAGGATTTGCCTTAACATGATCAAATGAATACTAAATGTGAATGTTGGTTTTTTTTTTTTTTTTTTGGATACCATAAATGAGAATCTTGTAGCTAAACTTATACTTAGAATGCATATTTATTTGTTCTAGTTACTAGTTGATGCTGGTATGTTGTACTTTTAATACATTTGGGCAGTTTTATAGTTTTTGATTGCTCTGTTTATTTAAACAATGCAGGTTATGGCAAGCAAGTCGAAGATATATATTGTTATGGAATTTGTTACTGGCGGTGAACTATTTGACAAAATCGTAAGACTGCTTTGTTCTTTTAGCTGCTGTGAATGTTCTATACTACAAAAACAATGTCTGACCAGGTAATGTTTCATGAATCAGGCTAGTAAAGGGAGGCTGAAAGAAGATGAAGCAAGGAAATATTTTCAACAGCTGATTAATGCTGTCGACTACTGTCATAGTAGAGGTGTGTTCCACAGAGACCTCAAGGTAAATGATCTTAATTCTCCTTGTGACTTCAGTAATCTCAATTTTTGGACCGTTTAAAGTGAGATATATGGTGGGTAGAAAGTTTAATTGTTACCTTTATGCTGTGTTTCATAGCCGGAGAATTTATTGTTGGATACCAATGGGGTTCTCAAAGTCTCTGATTTTGGATTGAGTGCACTTCCCCAGCAAGTACGGGTGAGTAAAGTTTACAAAATGACGTTAAATATATTCTTTAATATCTAGTAAGATTTATGTAAGTTGAACCTGATTTTAATCTGTCCCCTTAGGAAGATGGGTTGCTACACACAACATGCGGTACACCGAATTATGTTGCTCCTGAGGTGATCAACAACAAAGGTTATGATGGAGCTAAGGCAGATCTTTGGTCATGCGGTGTAATACTTTATGTACTCATGGCTGGTTACTTGCCTTTCGAAGACTCGAATCTTGTGGCATTATATAAAAAGGTGAAGTCTTGGTTGTTAAATTGTTGATTAGTTAATGCAATGTCATGAAACAAGAAACTTGGTATTATTTCTTTTGCAGATTTTCAAGGCTGATTTTGCGTGTCCACCATGGTTCTCCTCAAGTGCAAAGAAATTAATCAAACGAATCCTGGATCCCAATCCCCAAACGGTATATTGATATCCTGCAACTCTAGGAAAGGAAAACTTTTTTTTTTTTTTCAACTTTCAGTAACAAATATGACCTGAAACCGAATGATTTTGTATAATGAAACAGCGCATAACAATTGCTGAGGTCATTGAGAATGACTGGTTTAAGAAAGGTTATCAGCCACCAGTATTCCAACAGGAAGATGTTAATCTTGATGATGTCAATGCCATCTTTGATGAATCAGCAGTAAGTATTTCAAAGTTTTTGAAGATTTTTTATTGAGCTTAAACAATAACGTATTAAAAAATTTACGATAATAACTTTTTTTTGGAAAGGACTCATCAAATCTCGTTGTGGAGAGAAGGGAAGAACTGCCTACTGCACCACTTGCGATGAATGCTTTTGAGCTAATTTCTAGATCTCAGGGCCTCAATCTTAGTTCTCTTTTTGAAAAGCAAGTGGTATGCTTTCTGAAAGCTTATTATATAGAATCAAATGATTGTTGCCTTAGTTTCTTTTTCCTTTTTTTTTGGGGGGGGTTTAAAATTGATATTTGATATTTATATTCATGATAAATTATCTATGCATAATAATCAGATATTCATGATATTATCTATGTTCTAAAAGTATGTCTTCTTGATATTATCTTCCCTTTACCTCAAACAAAAGAAGACTGTTAGAACAAAAGGGTAGAACAAGAGGAGGCAGTCTTGAAAGTGGAAACCGTTAAATATTTCATTTTCCATGTTTTCAGCATCTGATTGATCAAATCTTTTATAAACAGGGACTTGTTAAAAGGGAAACAAGATTTACCTCAAAATGTCCTGCTGCAGAGATAATCTCAAAAATTGAAGAGACTGCTGTACCTTTGGGTTTCAATGTGAAGAAAAATAACTATAAGGTGAATAAGCACAATGGCTCTCCTGTTCTCCTCCACTCTGATACTTCGCTTTTCTGTATCTTTTGGTACCATCAAAATGTTTCTCTTTTCAAGTTTTCACTGGATTTTTATACAGACTGGACACCTCAAATCTACTTCTTTAACTGCCCTTGCTTTATTCTCCACTGATTATGTGCTTTTATCATAATTTTTTAATCTTATAAAGTCCAACTTTTCTTAGTGAAGAACTGGCGAATATAGATACATAAGAAAATTGAAATGGTTCTTGATTAGCTGTTTTTGAGTTTTACTTGTCTAAACTGATAAAAACTGCACATTTCCTTTATATCTTTACCAGCTAAAGCTTCACGGAGAAAAGACTGGCCGCAAGGGTCATTTATCCATTGCAACAGAGGTACATTCATCCTCATCGCCTCTGTTAAGAGTCCCACGTTGAAAAAATAAAAGAGAATATATGGGTTTATAAGGCCATAGGTTAGACTAGCTAATTGGTTGGATTCAATCTTTTAGTGTGGTTTGGCCCCATGTGTATTATAGACTAATTGAGTGACCCTAGCCCAATCTATAAGATTATAACATAGTATCAGAGCCTGTTCGGTCCACTTGGTTTACCCAGTTATGGGTATTGGTGGCGTCCAGAGCTTTTGTGACTAGCTAATTAATTCAATCTTTGGGTTCACCCAGTTATGGGTATTGGTGGCGTCCAGAGCTTTTGTGACTAGCTAATTAATTCAATCTTTGGGTTCACCCAGTTATGGACTTATGGGTATTGGTGGCGTCCAAAGCTTTTGTGACTAGCTAATTAATTCAATCTTTGGGTTCACCCAGTCATGGGTATTGGTGGCGTCCAACTTCCGTGACAAGCTAATTGGTTGAATTCAATCTTTTAGTGTGGTTTGGTCCATTGAGTGACCTTAGCCAATCTTGGTTTATAACAGCCTCCAATACTAATGATCTTTAAGACGCTTATATATTAACGGGTAGAATCTCAATGCAGGTTTTTGAGGTGACTCCTTCGCTTCATATCGTAGAGCTTCGCAAAGCTGGAGGAGATACCTTGGAATTCCACAAGGTGCAGAATGGTTTATTGTGCTCGAGCATCTATCTATATAGCGCATGTTCTGATTATTTTATTTTACTGTTAACAATATGATCATCATTTCCTCTTTTGCTTCTGTGTGCAGTTCTATAAAAACCTGTCAACTGGGTTGAAAGACATTGTTTGGAAAACCGAGGAACCAACAGCAGGATTAGAAGTTGGTTAGTACATTATTCTCTTAGTGGATGAAAACTTAGTATATCTGTTTAGTTAACGTTTATCACGATGAATTCTTCATGGTTCTTTTTAACACTTGTGCAGGTTCAAGCAGTGGGTTGGCTTAGACTGGTGTGATGTGTGCATATATAGCTATGGCTGGAAGTGCATTGAATTGAATTGTCACAACTGTATTTATTTTTCGTTTCCTTTTTTTTTTTTTTTTTTTTTTTTTTTGGGGAGTAAATGTTGTTTGGTTGTTGACAATCTATAAAACTGAGTCTAAATTTGAGTTGGTTTAAAACAATTCTGAGGAAGCCATATATCTGTCATTTTTACTTCATATAATTGTCTAGGAGTTGTTATTTGCAGTCTTGCATTTCGGGTAATCTGTATAGCAACCACCGTTGCAAAAATGGGTCAGGTGGCCGCCTAGGCGCTAGGCGTCCCTAGGCCGAGGGGATTTTACTCTTAGGTTGACATTAGTCTGCTTACAAGGTGCCCGAGTAGGTAAACTCGGTGTTTGAGTCGGTCAAATTAAGTGTCTGAGTTGGTCAATTTGGTCAAATGTTTTTTATTTTGTTGTTTTTCTTATTATTATTACTTGTTCTCCTAGGCATTAGGTGTCGACTAGTGCCTTCTACAACATTGATACAACATCAATTTCCAGGCATAGCTCTATATATACACACATGTGGTTTTTTGTCAAGAGGGAGAAAGAGGGTGAAATGGAAAAATAGAAAGAAATTGAAGGAAAAAAAGCTTTTAGGGGGTGTTTGGTTCAAGTTATATAGGATAACTAAGGTTATATTTGCTTGGCAATATAAAATTTTCATGTTTGGGAATGTCGATTGTCTAGTAATCTAACATTACGTGAACCAAAACGCCCCTGAATTTTATTGGTGCGCTCACCAGCTTAGTTAACTTCACGCCTTTATGGTACCCAATTTTTAAAGATAATGTTGTATTCGAAAATAAAACGCCGCTTAGTTAACTTCACGCCTTTATGGTACCCAATTTTTAAAGATAATGTTGTATTCGAAAATAAAATGCGGGTCACCCACGTGACAAGCAGGAATACTCACCACTATACTACAACGACATGATATCTCTGATGTTTATATTTTAGTCCTAGTACCATTAATATTGCTACATATTTCAGTAAATAAATATCTACTACTCCGTATATTTCAAATCATTACGAAATGAGGTTTTATTCATTCTGTATCATTTTCACATAGACACATACTTTTGTTCAAATATTTTCACGAACCAAAGAGTTAAGGTGTTGCTGGTGCGTGCAATGCTCTCCCGCTTAGTTAATTTTAAGCCTTCAAAATTAGAGTGAGATTTTTTTTTTTTTTTTTTTTTTCAAGATAATGTTGTATTCTGCAGGTAAGGGACCAAAGCAATCTCAACCACCCAATCTACATAATCATGTCTGGGCCAATAACTTCCCAGCAAAATGCCAAGTGTCTTTCAAGAATGAGATAAGTAGAAAGAAATGTCAAATGTGATGAGAAAAAAGAGAACTGTTTCTCACTTCCATTATTATTGTTTCTGAACTCAAAGAAAATGTCAGCAACAGCCTTCTATTGTTGTTTCTCTTCATGCTCCTCAGACCACCTATCCAACAACAACAATAACAATAACCTCTTATCCTCAAAACCCAAAACTCTCCTCCACAAACACCCACTCTACCAACCAACCCACAAGAACATCTCCCACCAGTTCAAGGAGAAAATCCTGTCCCTAGAAATCATGGGTGTTGATTCTGGGAGAGCCCTCTCCCAGAACCCCTCTCTCCACACAGCCCCCCTTCACTCCATCCACTCCATCATCACTTTCTTGCAGTCCAAAGGCATCCACCAGAAAGACCTGGGGAGAATCATAGGAATGTGCCCCAACATCCTAACCTCAGACATCAAATCTCACCTTATCCCTGTCTTCACTTTCCTCTCCTCAGACCTTAATGTCCCAGACAATGACTTCAGGAAAGTGATCAACAAATGCCCAAGATTGCTCATTTCCAGTGTCCCAGACCAGCTCAAACCTGCCTTGTTCTATCTCCAGAGACTTGGGTTCAGAGATCTGCATTCCCTGGCTTATCAAGACCCCATTCTCTTGGTTTCCAGCGTGGAGAACACACTGATTCCTAAGCTCAACTATCTGGTCAGCTTGGGGTTTTCAAGAACTGATGCTGTGGGGATGGTTTTGAGGTGCCCGGGGCTGTTCACTTTCAGCATTGACAACAATTTCAAGCCCAAATTTCACTACTTTGCCAATGAAATGGAGGGGAAGTTGGAAGAGTTGAAAGAGTTTCCTCAGTACTTCAGTTTCAGCTTGGAGAATCGGATTAAACCCAGGCATATGGAGGCTGTGAGAAGGGGTGTTCATCTTCCTTTGCCCTTCTTGCTCAAGACTAGTGATGAAGAGTTCTGGGAATTGATAAAGCTGCAAGGTGATGGACGAAGACGAACACGATAGTTTCAACTGATCTAAATGCCCAAATCTCTGTATAAATCCCTGCTTTTGCTACAACAATGTAATGTGATCAACAGTAAAGCTATATTTTTTCATCATTGGGAATTGCAGATAGATAGGTGGAAATTGCATTTTAAGGTTTCCAATTTCAGTTGAATAAATCACTTTGTTCTCATTTGCCATCTGTTTCCTATTTAATCTTTAGGTAGTTAAATTTTTGAATTTCTAAACTCAACTCAATTAGTCATTTTTTTTTTTTTTTGGGAAAATGACAAATTTAGTATATACATCTACAAATCTACAATCTACAAATCTAATAAGAGCGAATAATGTTAGGCCCTTAACTGGAACAAAAAAAATGTCGGTACTAATTGTTTCTTAAAATGAATGGTTCATATTATTTTGATTTTAGTATCTTTTAATGATTTTCCTTATTTACCCTCTATTATATTATTTTCTTCCCTTAAATAACCCTAAATTCCGTTAGTTCAAACTTTAGTAACGGAATATTCCGTTAACTATTTATTATTCTTAACATACTCTTAATTTATATAAGGTCTTAGGTTCAAACCCCATCCCAATTATAATTGACATAATTGTTAAACATATATTATTTTTTTTTTCAGGAAAGAGGGGGATACCCAACGTTAAACATATATTATGAATATGTTAAAATGTATTAAAAATATATATATAATATAAAATTTAACATAAACTTTGGTCAAATAATTAGCTCGACTAAATACATAGCATTCAAAGTTGAGCATCAAATATTATAAATCAGGAACTACTTTAAAATTATTTGATTTCTTGAATTTGTTTATTAAAAAAAAAACAAATTTATGTTAAGTTTTTTTTTTTTTTTAAATTAATCTTCTTCTGATTATTTAGAACAAAACTTAATATTTCAATTATGTTTTTGCATTATTTGAATGATTTAGGCCATTATGGTATTAATATTTTTTTGTATTTTTTTATAATGGTACAATTGTACATTACATTACTAATATTATACTATTATTTTTTTATTGGACAATGTTCTTACATCATTGTCAAACCTGCGCGGCCTAACTATAAAGTTGTTGATCATAAATACAATTACACATAGACTCTAAAACGGTAGGATCATTTTTCAAATAATTGACAATGTTAACATCCTACTAGCTCCAATTGAACAAGTTTACACATCAAAATTTTATCAATGCATGAAAACTTCTAAAAAATTTTGTAAGTTAATTCTTACTATATCATTATATTAATATCTATTGTAACCATATATTTTGAATTATTTATTATCATCCTCTATTAACAGCAATTATAGCAATTGTTATGGACAAACTCACAAAACAATTTGTCTCAACAAGGAATGGAAATTAAAAAAAAAAATCATTGATTTCATTATTGTTGAAGAAAAGTATGTACGACACTTTATTACTCTTATTAATTAAATAAATTAGTAGCTACAACAAAAAATAATACATATGCCCCATTTAATTAATTTAGAATTAGATGTCTATAATGCTTTATTTAAAAAAAAATTATTCATTATAAAAAAATTTAAAATAAATATAATTTCATTAGTTATATCATCTTTATTTTCTACAATTCAAAGATTCCTTACCTTCAAATTTATTAATTTATTATATTCACTACATTGTTCATTGTCTTCTTTTTTACATTATCTTGTAATTAAATATCAAAGTTATAATACAAAACATGTTTATATATATATATATATATATATATATATATATATATATATATATATTTATTTATTTATTTATTTATTTACCAAGTATTTTATACAAATATAATAAATATTAATATTTCGTTTAATACTTTCACATGATAACCTGCGACACACATCTCACAACACATGAAACATGTAGGAAAAAAACTACCACTACTAAATATAAATAGGTGTTTGTACGCTAAAGAGTTCATATTACAACTAAAATCTCAGTCATATACACAGCAAGGTAAATCTAAAACTTCCTACACCATAATCTCATTGCATGATGAATCCCTCTATGCTGCTACCAGTAACCTAATTGCACATGAAACACTACCAATAAAAAAACAAAAAAAAAAACAAAAAAGAAAAAAAGAGGACACGTACTGAAGATGAAAACAATAACGATGCTACCCAAAAAAGAATTAAGAAGAATTAGAGAAATTTAAACCAAAAGTAATATTTATTTAGACTATCGCTTTAAAACTAAGTATTTAGACTAGCGTTATTACAAAGTTGCAAACATTTATTTTAGTGACAATTATAATCAATCTCTCATATATTATCTTGCATTTATATACTTTAAATTACCGATTTAAATAAACAAATTCAACATTTATTTACATATGCATGAACATCTCCTATATAATATTGCATTGATATACTTTGGAATACTTATTTAAAAATAATTATTAGGCATTATCTCATTCGCACAAAGTGCGTAAAAAAACTAGTTATATGGATATAGGCTCAATTTTTGAATTTATTGTCATAATCACTTTTAGTTCTTGAGTTATTCAATGTGACACTTTTTGTCCCAAAGGTTAACTTATACTACCTCCGTCTCATTTTATGTGTCGAGTTCGATTAAAGAGGCTTGATTGAAATTATTTATAATTTAATTTTTTATAATATTAAATTTAGAATTAGTATGTGAAATTTATTTGTAAATTTCAATTTTGGTCTAATGATTATTGGGGTCTTGTTAATTACAATCCACGACTTTTAAAAATGTTATTTTAGTATCTTATAAAATAATCAGAGTATTTTAGTCATTTCACTCCTTTTTTTCTTCTTCGGCGAGATCATCTTTTCCACCATGTTACCGCTAATGCAATGAACTCAGGCTATGAAGACTCGTGTCTGTTTCGACTGCTCATCATTCCAGCTTCTTTTACCTTCTTAAAAAATTTAGAAGCAAAAGTTGGATGCAAATGGACTATGAAGACTCGTGTCTGTTTCGTTTTTACCGGCGGTGGCTACATTTTAGGGGCAACGGGTTGCTGTTTTACCGGCGGTGGCTTATTAAAAGTCGGTTGATTTTCACTCGTGTCAGTTCTGTGTATTGTTTATTGGTATGTTTGGTTGATTTTCACAGAAATGATACATAATTTAAAAGTTGAATCTGTGAAATGGAAAGAAAAATTAATCCGTAATTCCGTTGCCTTCGGCGAAACTCTCTCCCACGGCTTCTTTGGATTTGCTATGGTAGACTTGTTGGAGAAGAAAAAAAAGAGTAAAATGACTAAACCACACAAAATAATATTGTTGGGTTTCTGATATCGAGGAAGTCAATCAGCGGACTAACATGACCGACTAAATGAGAGGTGAAATATGAAAGAACAGAAAAATAAATAATTGAAAGGAAAAAATACAGAAGACATAATAATTTTTAACGTGGAAACCGAAAGGTGAAAACCATGGACATTTTTGGGTTGGCACTATTTTTTGCAGTGTTGCAAAAATCGCGCCTAGGCGCTGTTGGTGATAATGAACCAAAAATCAATTTAATATCTTAAAATAATATTTATATATACACACACGAAAGTATATAAAATATTATTCGATATATATATATATATATATATATATATATATATATATATATATATATATATATATATATATATATATATATATATATATATATATATATATATATATATATAAATCAGACCACTATGATTATATGCATGAATATCTACAGAAAAGATATATGCATATCAACCAAATGGAACTTATAATCCACAGATTATAATTCCAACCAAACTATAATATCAAAAGAATGGAGGATTTTGCTTAGAAGCGTAATCCAAAACCGAAAGAAGGAAAGATGGCTCGTGTATGGGTAAGGGTTTTTAGCGTGAGTCAAGAGACCACTCTTTCCTTAAAACCTTATTTGCCAGCTCCCAAAAGTGCTAGGAGCGTCGTGGCCTAGGTTTCCCAGGATAAAACGCGCTACGATTCGACGTTTGAGCACCCAAACGAGCGAACTAGAGCAAAGCCTTGAACACAGTTTAGGCAAAGAAAGGAGTAGAAACAGAAGGATTTTGAAGCTTGAAAACAAAATTTCGTGTGTTGTGTGCTTGTTCACTCCATTGCAAAAATTCTGTTGTTCTACTCCCCTTATATAGGGTATGAAGGATTCAATAGCATCATTATGGCATTAAAGCTGATATTAAATCAGTCTTTGTAACACCTGAAACAGCCAGCCCCATTATCATAGAGTTAAATTCAGATTTAAAGTTGGAATTAATTAAAAAGTTAATTCCGCACCAGAAACCGAACAGAAGCACAACTCTCGTGCTAGCTCCTTCCCCTGAACTCACACGAGAGTTCGGTTTCAGCGTGAAGTTTCCGGACGACATTCGTGCCCGCAGGTGCCGGCGCACACGAGCTCGAGCTTGAACCAAGCTTTTTCGATCTCGTTTCTAGTTGGAATTTGATTTGCACCCCCCCCCCCCCCCCGCACGCGCGAAAGAGAGAGCCTCTATGCTACACAATTCTACAAGTTCCAAAGGAGCTCTTGTATAAAAGGGGGGGGGGGGGGGGGGGGGGGGGTCAAATCCTCTTTCCAAACCAATGTGGGACAAAACTTACTTTTCCCTTCATTTTTCCAACTCAATGGGTCTACTTTGAGAATCAATATCTCATTCACCCATTATCCGTTTTGAGCGTACAATATATCAATCTCTTCGTCTCACTACGAAGAACCCGAATCCACTTTGACCCAACCCAAATTGGAAGTGGACCCCACTGATAATTGTACCACAAAATAGCCACTTAAAATGCCATTTTAATGCTATTTTTCCAACAATCCCCCACATGAATGAAAATTTATTTTCAGGGTATTTTGAAATCGGAAACAACTGTGTTCAAACGATCGATCCCTGCATAGGATAGGTAGGGAGTCACTATACCCTTTGAACCTTCCCTTGTGAAGATATGTTTACTCTACTGGTTGTACGGTAGAACGCAATGTCTTTGAACCGACTGCCTTTGTGTAGATGATGACATATCTCACACAGGAACCTCCCAACCATGCTCTGTTCTCATGAGTGTGCCCATTTTGGTCGTGGGTCATCGTTCCTGGTTCTGCGAGAGTTTCTAAAGAAATTGTGCCCAACAATTCTCCTTTGAAGCGACCCTCACTTCTCTCTTACATA